CTCAGAGAACACTTCAACAGCACTTTATGCTGTTTGAATCATTAAATTTAATGCTTATGTTCTCCGATGTAATGTCCCGATTGGCGTAAAGGATATCGGATCTGCCTTTTGCGTCAGAGGGTGTGGGTTCGTTCCCCACTGGTGGGAAAATATTGTGCGATGAACATAGTGTATGTCTAGTGTCTAGTTTATTAGACTTAGTTTTAATTTATTTATCTATAATATGTATTTATTTACAAAAAAAACCGGTATGTTTATCAGTTACCTAGTATCCATAGTAGACACTATGTTTATCCATGTGTATCCATAGTAGACACTTAGTTTAGGATTAGATCGTTGTGTAAATATGTCTTGTAATATTTTTTTACTCATTTATTTTATTTATTAGTGGAATTGGAATAAAGTGTAATTAAGTTAATATAAAAAATAAATAAGTTCATAAAAAAAAACATTAAATAAAAATAAAATCTATTATAATGCCATCTATTGACAATTCGTTTAAATAAAAGTTAACGCAGTCAAAGTCAAAGTACAGGCAGTAGACTGAAAACAGTTATTCATAAAAATTAGGTTACTTTCTTTGGTAAATACTAATATATAATTACGTAACTATTTATGTATATTATGTATCCGTATGGTAGCAATTATCAATGTGAAAATATCTAATACGTATTATACTTCTGCATTAGCGGGTCACGTGATGGATTAGAGCCCCATGTTTATCATAAGATGAACTTCATTTTTTGCCATCGGAAGGGGGCATCGGCTCTGTTGTAATATGTAGTATGAACTCGCTAGAGCTAACTGCTAAACTTCCAGTTTCAATTTAATAATATTCTACATCGGCTAATTTTCAATTTTCAGGAATTAAGTGCCACCTTTTCACATAAGATCTTTAAATGAATTCTACCTTTCTACTAATTGTATATGGCAAAATTGAAATTTGTCAAATTACTAATGACAAGCGTGCTCAAAAATACCAAATCAAGGAAGTGTTTTTTTTTTAATTAGGGTTCCTCAGTTGAACGTTTTGAACGGCCAGACATTACGCACCGCCACGTGGGTTGACTCTATCACACACGGTTCGTTAGAACTAATCGGATTGTCTCCTTGTTTACAGGTTTAGCTGTACGTCCGAATCCGTCCGTTTAGTTTAGAATTATTACGTTTCGCGTTCGTTCCATCTATTACATAAGTAATTAATAATCCTTAAAAATATGTAAGTAATTGCGGCGTTATCGTAAAATCGGAATTTTGGGATGAAAATTGATTTTGCGTGATGTCTTTCATGTTAATAATAATTGTAATGAGGGAAAGAGAAGAGAAGAATGTAGCGTGGATGTTGTCCCATATTCATAAAAAATAACGGGCCCTTGCAAGGAAATTACTATTTTGTCGCGAAAAATTAAATATAGTTGGAGAGTTAGTGAACTGAAAAAGAACTAAGAACTGAATGAGGTTGTATCTGAATCACTGCGTACGTGTAATGTGTCCGCTAGGACAATAGCACCAACAAAACAGCCTTTATAATTGTTCACTGCTGGGCAAAGGCCCCCTCTGTATAGAGAGTATCAGGGCGTGGTCCCACTGTGGTTTGACAGAATTCACATATCTTCGAAATACTTTTTATTATTAATTTGAAAATATACACGTATCCTTCACTATTGAGCACTTAAAAGTGCAAGTAACAAATTCATTGGTGCTGGCACCGGGAATTCGGTACTTCCTCGGACGGAACTGCCCATTCATTCAACAGCGAACAGTTTTGCGTTGCCCTACCACAGTTAAGACTCTATTCTATCAACGAATAGAGAATGACCGAGAACAGATCGCTCCATCTCTTCAGCATATTTTCTTGTGCAGCATCTTTCGATGTTTGAAGATTAAAGCCTAAAGGAACTTCAGTGATGTCAGTGATGACTTGACAGCGAGACGTTTTATTCCACTCCTGGCCGTATGAGGAAGTGTAAAGTCATTCAGCATGCTAAATACTACTAGATATATAGGTTCTGTTTAAAACTGAAATGCACGAATAAAACGTTAAAAATTGTTATAAAACGCAGTCTAACTTTTCATTTCCGTACGTGAATAAATTTAAGTGGACGACTATAATTTTTCCTCAGAATTATGCAAATTTGCGTAATGGCTACACCGGCGACTATCTTTACGGTCCGCGATATCTGGGTAGCAAGTGGAAAAATATTAAAATGCACAACTGGTAATACAAAGTGGAATAATTTGCGTAATTCCTATTAACGAATAAAGAAGTACTTAATAGAATGAAGAAACAGCTAGAAATATTAGTAACTATTAAAAAACGTAAAACCGCATATTTTGGACACATACAGGGTGGCTTTTCTATGTGTATCCATTTTTTTAATTAAATTTTACACATAAATAATGTTATATAAAAAGTGATAAATATTTAAAATCACTCGTAAGTAATTAATTATATTCATTTGAACTTATCTCAAAAAGTGCGTGATTTATACGCAACTCATTTATTTTACGCGAGATCATTCATAACTAACACGCATACAAGTTCATGCACAGTAAAATTTAGGTATTTATGAATGGCTACCGCATTGTCAACACGTTCTGTTTTTTAGCGAATAGAATGGATATTTTTTTTTTTGGAAAAAATAACTTTGTTTTTTATTTCACTAAACGATTATACTACCGAGTCTGAACCTCCTGTGTAAATTTGGGCACTTCTCAAAAAATCTTCCGTGTGGCAATCGAACCCGGCGCTAAAATCTATAGCTTAGCAACAGCGACACCGAGTCATTTATAAGTTAGTTATTTAATCATATTTTATTAATTATTAATATGTAGGTAAACAGTTTTTCAAACTGTTGAATTCTTTTCGAATCAACAGGTCGAACTTGGCCGAACGTAAGCCTTTTGTATTAAAAGGAAAAAACTTTCTAGCCATTTGAGCGGAGAGCTCTGAAATGACGGTTCGTTTAGCGTCGGCCCATTTCCTCATTACCGTATCGTCCCGTATCATTGGCTCGCAAAAACCGGAAAATGGACGGTACCGTACTCGTATGTTACATATCTTGTTATGTCGCTAGAACTTAACTGTCAAAGCTGCAACTTTAGCTTGGAAATTTATATTATTAGGTTATTATATATATTATATTACATAATAGATGTAGTGGCGATGGATTCCTGTGGCACAGGTTCGTGCTTCGTGGCAGTCTGTCGAAGCCTATGTTCGTTTAGCAGTGGACTTAAACAGGCTGAAATGATGATCATGATGGTTTACGAACAAATTTATTTAATTATATTAACGCAGTGTTCAGTATTTAGGAATTATGCAATATAATTTTTGACATTGACCTTGAGAATAATATAAATTAATAAAACGAATTCTTAATGCATCATAAATAAATCTTACAATTAAATCAACCTAACCATATCTTAAATAAAACAACTCTAACCATATCTTAAAATAAATCTTTGAACAATACCATTGAAAGAAATTATTTAGATTGGGCAGTGCTTTTTGGTTACATTCCTAAAAATCGGTTAATTAATAGACCGGTTTTATATTTTATAACATTAGAATGAACAAGGGAACTATCAAATATTCCACTGCACTGTGGTAACTATTCAAGATACCGGGCAACATGTAGTACTCGAGGGTATTGGTACGTTCATTTAACTGATTATAGCCAGCCGACCAATATCAATACGCGTGTATGGGTTACGTTTACGCGTGTATGGGTTACGCTGGACGTGGACTTTGTTGGAATATGCAGTGTACATTAGTGTACAGTGATCCACACAAGTTTTGTGTTAACATTAAAACCACAATTATAGTCAAAAAGCGACATGATGAAATTGCTTGCAAAGCGACTGACTTCACTGTGTTACCATGGCAACCAATAACATTTTTTTTACGTATAATTCTAAATTATTCAATTAAACCGTTATCATTTGCATTTAATATCTAGAGTACTGGCACCGGGGATAACATTTTTTGTTATTATTCTTTTGTTGCGTTAAATATATATATACTTAACTTATTACGTACTTTTTTTTTGTGAGTCGTACTCTACGTACGTATAATATTATTATTATTTAAATACATTTTACTCCTTAAGTATATTAGACTCTCTTAGATTCTCTCGTTGACTGTACTTTTGTGACACGTTTGCTAAAGCTAGAATATACGAACACAAAGCAAACGAATGGCCGGAAACGTACGATCGCTGTGCAAACTGGAGGCCGAACTCACCTCAACCAGAGCAAAAGCCTAACAACTGCGGCCGCTCCAAATTTTATTCCCATTTGTTTTATGTTGGAAATGGTGTTAAAACTGCTTAGGGTTAGAAAAGCGGTTGAGAATGTTTCACAGTAGATTCATTTACAAACAAGGATATTTAAAAAAATAAAAAACAATGTAGAGACGTTGACATATTGTCGGTTTGGCGATTAGTCACACAGATCTTTAACCACTAAGCTAATAGTGGTGAAAGCGTCTGGGCGCGAATCTGGAAGGCACGGGTGCGATTACCGTAGTGGCGAAAAACTTTTCCATCCTCTTTTCTACATATTCCATTAAAATAATGTCATTAATCAATTCGCAAAAAAAATAATGGATCAAAGATGTCTTTTATACAAAAAAGTAAAGTAACAGCCTATACATGTCCCACTGCTGGGCAAAGGCCTCCTCTATACAGAGGGTATCAGGGCATAGTCCACCACGCGGCCCCAATGCGGATTGGCCGACTTCACATATCTTCGAAATACATTTTTTTTGTTATTATTTCGAAAATATGCAGGTTTCCTCACGATGTTTTCCTTCAACGCGGAGCACGTGATAATTCAGCACTTAAAGTTTAAAACTTCATTGGTGCCGGCACCGGGGATCGAACTCAGGTTGTTCGAGTATATATTGAATTAAAGGCGAGCGCCCGAACATTGAGCTATCACGGCTCATATACAATTTTATACAAATGTCACAATAAATTTTAAATGATTTTATTTAGGTGGCTGCTCCGCTTTCGGCCATTCCTGCTACGGCGGCCACGGGAAGAGGTCCAGCGATAATTCAATAATGGATGTAAGTTAATACAATAATTTACATTACAGTATTTGAAACAAAAAAGTATTAAGTCGAGATGTAAATGAATATTCGTCATTTGATTTACTGAAGTATAAAAAAGTGAAGATTTATTATGTACATAGTTTTATATGTTAGAAGGTGACAAGAGAGTTCTTGGTTCTTCAGCGATTGCAGATGCGTTGCCACCTTATATTAAAGTGGGCCCCGGGTACCTCACACACCAGACGAAACGCAGAAGTATAACACTTATACTTTACGCCGGTCTTCGGTGAGGTCGTGGTACTTCCCCGGACGGACCGGCCCATTCATGCAATAGCGAACTTTTGCGTGGCCCTATCACAGTTGTCCTAATATCAGAAACAAGCGATTATGGCCCTATCACGCTTATCCTAATATCATAAACAAGCGATTAAAATTAATGATGTTTTCAAGTAATAATTATGTAAGAATCAGCTTATTTAATCATAAAATAATAATGAGACTGATAAAGTCGTCAACGAAATCAAATTATCACACCTATCGGTATTTTACGCAAAAATTTGATATGATAACAGTTTTGAGCGAAGTCTGAGTATTAATAAAAGTGATTTATTTTAGAGTAACCCTGATATGATCGAGCGTCAGATCGGCCAGGAGGAGACCCCGCCGCACCCAGTGTACCCGCACTCTGGGTACAATGGATTCCTGCCGTCTGGAGAGGACATCATTCCTGTCCGGGATGGAGGTGATCATTTTAGACACGCTGTAGAAGCGTTATACACACGTTGCAGACTCGTCATACACACGTGGCAGACGCTCTATACACACGTGGCAGACGCTCTATACACACGTGGCAGACGCTCTATACACACGTGGCAGACGCTCTATACACACGTTGCAGCCGCGTTATACACACGTTACAGATAACTCAAAGCCTCGGCCTTTCAATATTATTGGTTAACAAATGAGAAATTACACTCGGTGATTGTTGCAGTTGAAACTTTCACTGATACTTTTCCCTTATTTTGTCTTTAAAAGTGTAAAAAACACATTGAAGCTAGCGACCAACATGTTCTATTATTGTTTCTTTATAATTTCACGTAAACGCTAACTAAGTTCCATATCCATTAGGATTTTATATTCATAGTTTGTTTATATTGACCTGGCAATATAATGTACTCGTAAGTACTCATCTTTAAACACAATTTTCAATTCTTTTTGGGTGATATTTTAGCTTTCAGTCCCGAGGTTAGTGTAAAGCCGTTTACAGGACTCATAAAAAAGTAACTAACTAGCAGACGAATATTTTTAGATTGCGACACATGTAAGCCCCTGTTAAAGCAAAACTCCGCTCGTAGATGCAGAGTCAGCCCCAAAGCAAGGTGTCGTGCTAGCTGATATGAGTTGTGCTACTTTAAACTCGGTTAAATGAAAGATATAAGGAGTTACTGTTGATTTGAGTAGTATTGCAGTATACGGCAAGAATTCGGCATCACCCTTGGGTTATAGGATGTAAGAACTATTTCGAAGACCATCTTAAAACTCTTTTTTTAATATTTTTCCTAAAATTTTTTGACAGAGATTGGCCGCATCTATAAGTCACAGTTACTGCCACCCAAGCGTGTTGATAAGTAGGTACTGGTTTACGTTTAGGTAACATACTGACCTGGATAATTATTTCTTTAAATATATAGTATGTAAATTAATGAACTTGTATATTCATATTTTTTTAAATAAATTATTTTTGTTTAGTAAAGCATAAAATCTCATTGTGAAGTTCATCGATAACAGTTCCCTATTATTACGCACATCACTAAGGGTAACTGAGACTAAGGGACCATAGACTAATATAATTATAAGACTAGTTTATAGCCCCTACGACTCAGTTCTGAATGCAGCCACTATCAACTCAATTGCTCAAGTGGTTGACAATTTGATGTTATATGAAAATGTAATTTAATATTCGCAAATTTTGTAAATCATTTTTGATATTGCTAAACTTTTTTACCTAATTATTTACTTAGTTACGCGACTTACGCCCGATTCATCAACTCAAAGAGTTTAACCATCCTTTTGGCAACTTAAATAACCTTTGAAAAGCTATTTGACAGCCCATTCGTTAAAAAAAAAAACTTCTATGTGCTTCATATACCGAAAAAGAAAATATAACAAAAACAAGAAACGTGTCAATATGCCTATTAGTTTATATTTCGTTATCAATATCGCGACAAAAATTTAGATATTGTTACATTACATACAGTTATAGTAACGTGTTAAATTTTAGGTGCTTACGAGCGAGATGTCAACAGTGTATCCCGCGACGTCATGAAGTACAAACTGAGGAATATTGTGAAACATTGGGTGAGTGTTATATAATATAATTGGACGTACCCGGACAGACCTGCCCATTCGTGCAACAGCGAAACCTCTACCGCGTTCATATAAACATGTTACAAGATTCAACTTGTCCGTTGCAGATGGAAAACTACAGGCGATCGCAGCAGAACCGCGACGATGGCTACTTCATCGAGAATCTGTAAACGCAGAACCCCCGACGAGTCTCTACCTTTGAACGTGTTGTGCGAAGTGAGCTTGTTGAAATCATTATAAATGAAACTTTCCTCACTTATGATAAACATTTTTTTTATTTATTTTCGTAAATTCTTACTCGACAGTAATAAAATATTTTATATTTTTTAATTATCGCATCAGTTAATTAGAAACCAACAAGCTTTCTTCATTCATATATGATGTGTATTAAATGAACCGTAAATTAATAGATTTTAAATTATAATTGAAATGTCTACTTGTAGCTATAAATTTTACTGTCAATTATAAGAAATTGTAACTTTTAGTCTTTTGTAGATATGCACCGTTCGTTCTTTCCTAATTAATATTTTGAAAAGGCTGGTATTTATTGTTTTTTTTTGTATAAAAATAACGTTTTAGTGTTTTTACGTAATTATCACTTAATTTTTATTATGGCTCCTTTTATTTTAAAATTTGAACTATATATTATGGTATAATCTCTACTGATAATTGTTATTTCCTACAAGATCGTATCTTTATTAACTTCTATGTGTCAGGAAGCACTAGATGTATTGTTGGCGTAAGTTTACCATCACTTCTAATTGTTGTAATAAGGATTATAAAGTGTCTACGTGATTGTTTCTCATATAATGTTTTGTGTATTAGAATATCAATAAATGGTTAGATACACAGAAGTTGTTTTTAAATGTTTTCCCAATTAGCCTGTGTTACACGACTAATGCCCAGTTTCCGAAAGGCCAATCAAAGCAGCAATCACATAACACTATGTCAAAAATGATCAGCTGTTAATTTCTTGTTAAACTGCCTTGGGTTTCTGGAAGGTTTGTTCAAGAAAAATTAGCTAATCACTGTATAACCAACGATAATGAATGTGAAATGAATGATTTACTTCAACTAACTCTTTCTATTGTATAGCTGTCCCTTTTTAAACAAAACTTAAATTAACGTCACTATCCAGTCCTGTCACCGTGTGATTGCCAACGTAAAAATCCGAGCTATAATAAAATTTAATTTATATAAATACATGCAAAATGTCAAGAAAAAACATTACAGAACGTGAAAAAAATTAACTTTTATCCATAATAAACAAGTAAGTATTATAAAAAGAAAGAATCCATATTATTTATTAAATTTTGAATTGCATTTTCTATTTTTTCTAATCGCATAATATGTTCGCATAATAATAAATAATAAATAGGTAATAGAACACATGAATTTCCTTATAACGTATTAGGGAATTATGTTTATTTCTAATAAAAACTAAGATTTTTGATAAAATACATTTTTAACCAACGATTGATCGTCCAAATTGACAGATTACTTAATAAAACTTTTGACAGCTCGTTGACCACCGAAAAACGCTTTCAGAGACTCGATTTTCTGTTGGTTGTCCGTTAATCAGTGACTAATTGCAAATCAAAATCAATGTTGTTTTCAGACGTTCTAGCAACTCAGATCATGTTAAACAACGTTTGACAAGAGATATATCGTAAATTAAAATTGATTGCGCTTTCGGAAACTGGGTGTAAGCCTGACGTGTGACTTAATGAAAAGTTACCATTTTTTGGTACATTGGACTTGAAATTTAAAATTTTTGCAAATAATTAATATAATGTTTAATTTTATTGAATATTTAAGTTTTATTAAATATTTAAATTTATTAAATGTTTAATTTTATTTAATAACGTCACGTAGAGTTGAAGAATTATGGACTATTCTGCAGAAATGAGCAGGTTTTCCTTATCTACGTACCTGTTTAAGGTAAATCTCAGCCTGCAAGACTTCGAGAGATTATGATTTGAATGAGAAAATACTTTTTTTATTTTAAATTGTGCGAGCAGGCGGCTAACCTATTTTAAATGAATACCATCGCCGATGGACATCTGCTACACCTGAGGGCAGATGCGTTGACAACGTTTTTAAAAATATGCCTCCAGCTACCTCACTCACCAGACGAAACGCGAAAATATTAATCTCCCACTTCACGCCGGTCTTCCGGCGAGGTCGTGGTACTTACCCGGACGAGCCTGCCCATTTGTGCAACAGCAAAAACTGTTGCGTGGCCCTACCACGGTTAAGGAAAATAGTTGAAGTGATAGGAAGTTTCTTTGATCTTAATTCAAAACCTATAGTTTATAATTCATTCTCGCGAATCAAATTTAATAAATTCCAAAAAAAAAAAATGAATATAACATTTGGGTGAAATAACTCTATTGTATAGTTTATTATAAAAAACGAGGAATTGATATCGTATTATGTTTCAGTGCCCGTGTTATATATATTTTACAATACAAAAGTTATGATCTCTTTACACGAGATTCTGCAATCATAACTTCCGCTTCCACCGCATGGGAGAATTTCTTTTGTGTTTCAACACGGGCAAATGTTGTTATTTATGTTTCGCCTGAAATTACGCTGTTCTCGCACAGGGATAGTTTTGACATATTTTTTGCCTCGTATTGGCCTTGTGGAGGACGAACTCCAGCTATTATGATGACCTGTGTAAATGTGCAGAAAGTCGATGGATCCAGGTGGATCAGGATCGTGCTTAGTGGAAGTTTACACAGTGGTAGGGCCACGCAGCAGCCTCGGCCGTTGCACGAATGGGCTCGTCCGGGTAAGTACCACGACCCCACAGAAGACCGGCGTGAATTCGAAGTGTTATACTTCTGCGTTTCGTCTGGTGTGTGAGGTACCCGGGGCCCAGTTTTCAAAAGGTTGTCAACGCATCTGCAACCCTCGGGTGTAGCAGATGTCCAGGGCGGCGGTATTCACTTAACATCAGGTGAACCGTCTGCTCTATTGGCACTTCTTTTCTTCATTCAAACATTTTTTGCATTAAAATAAAATCACATTAAAACAAAAAAGTCTGTCTAAGTCGTGAACATAATTGACGACCCGAATGGCGTAGTGGGTTTGTACCTGCCTCCTGCAGCAGAGGGTGCGGGTTCGATCCCCACTACTGGAAAAATATTGCACATAGTGTTTTTCTGGTGTCTGGGTGTTTATATATGTATAATACGTATTTATTTACAAAAGAAAATTATATTTAATTATGTTTATCAGTTATCTAGTACCCATAGTAAACAAAAACTAAACCTTTGCTTGTCCAAACGCTCATTTTACCCATTATCGATTATGCAGATGTGTGTTACCCGGATGAATCACAACGTCTACTAAAGAAGCTGGATCGCCTTCTTAATAATTGTATCTGGTTCATTTTCGGCTTACGCAAGTATGAACACATATCCTCCTATCGATCTCAACTGAATTGGCTTACTAGTCGGCAAAGGCGACAGTCCAGGATTTTGCTTGTGCTTTGTCTCCATTTTAAATGATTGTTCCTCCCCTTCTTACCTCAAAGACAAATTCTAATATCTCTCCTCATCTCATGATAGGATACTTCGGTGGTCTTACACTAATAAATTATGCATTCCAGCTCACTTTACCGGGTTCTCTGTTAACTCCTTTACTATCCAAGCGTAACGTAAGAAACGCAAAAAGTAAGACATCTTTCAAAGTACTGGTTCGTGAACACCTGTTAAAGAAAAATTCGACCTAAGATATGAAAATTTTATTACTCTTGCATCTTTTGCTGCACGTACTCTCACCACATCCTGGGTTGACTGGTAGAGAATGCCTTTGGGCATTAAGTCCGCCCTTTGTTACCTTGTTTTACATAAGGTTGGCAATAAAGATTAAATAAATAACACAAAAATAGTACAAGCGTTGCTCAGTTTGGGACTAGAGAACGTTGTGGAAAAATGTGTCCTAAAAAAATTATCTGTGGACTCAAATAGGCTGAAATGATGATGATAAGGTTCAGACTCATTTAAGAAGAACAAGTTTTAATCATGTATTACTGCAACGGGCTAATGACATAGTAAAGAAAGTAAAGTAACAGCCTATACATGTCCCACTGCTGGACAAAGGTCTCCTCAATACAGAGGGTATCAGGGCATAGTCCACCACGCGGCCCCACTGCGCATTGGCGGACTTCACATATCTTCGAAATATTTTTTGTTATTATTTCGAACATATGCAGGTTTCCTCACGATGTTTTCCTTCACCGCGGAGCACGTGATAAGTCAGCACTTAAAGTTAAAAACTTCATTGGTGCCGGCACCGGGGATCGAACTCAGGTTGCTCGAGTATATTGAATTATAGGCAAGCACCCGGACACAGCTATCACGGCTCGGCTAATGGCATAAAATAATGAAATATCTCGGTCGAAGGGATTGCTTTCTTTTACTTTTATATTTCTAACAATTAAATAGTTGTAAATTAATTGTTTCAAACTAATCTTTTCGTGAAATTGATTTTTTAATGTTTATATTTTCGTTTAGGATAACGAATGATCAATCATGTTTGTTGAAATCTTAAAGGAGAGTTTACTAAAAATAACATGTTCCTAATATAATTGTTTTTCACGTGGATCTATACTCTTTATTGATATTCTCTGTTACTCAACCCGATGATTTGTTTGTTTATTGGGGTTGAAGTATCTTTCGACAATTTGTCTACCTTATTATCCTTTTAAGTGTAATTCTAAGTGCGGCGACTTGAACTAAAAAATAAAATAAATGTAAATGTAGTAAGTTCTGGATTAATATCACACCTGACAGCTATCTCTTGATCAGCTATATGTGGAGACAGACATTTTAAATGTATTAATACATCCGATCTAATTTAGTTACGTACAATATTATGACATGATATCAATTGAGGTGATAACGTGGTATCAAGTGTCTCTAACTGTAAATACTGCGGTCCGCAAACCAAATTAGATTGGACGCTGCTGATTCAAGTTGATATGATATAATAATTCCGGGGAGTTCACATCGCGTTGCAAGTTTAGTAAGTTTCTGTGAAATGTTAATTCTACTGCAGTACTTAGACATTGTCCACATTACTATAATACTAATATCTGCAATGATGTCTAATAGTATAGATGATGCATGTCTACACTGAGCGGCATTTAAAAATT